GGCTCACTCATGTCCTTCAAGTGGTTGCTTAGATGTCACCTTGTTCGACGTACTTTCCTCAGTCTTTCTACATAAAATCGCATCTGTTATTCTCTTTTCTTCCTTAACCTGCTTTAATTTTTCTCCACAGTGCACAGGACCACCATAGGACATTGTATGTGTTTAATGTGTGTCTTCCAGCCCTGCCACGTTAGCTCCATGAGGACTAGGGATGTGTCTGTTTTATTCATTGCTGCATTCCCAGCACCTATAACAGTGTCTGGCACACAGTAGGTGCTCAATAAATAGTTGCTAAATGCAAGAATGAACAAACAAATGAATGAATGAACCCTTTAGCTCAGCATTATAAAACCCTTAGTGATTTTGCACCTGCCTCCCACTCAGTCTCAGGCTCATCTCTCGATTGCTCTGGCCACAGTGCAGAGAAGGGCAGATACGGGCGTGCCAGTCTGGAATCTTCTGCAGTATTCCAAACGACAACAGAGCTTAGATGTCAGGAACGGTGGAGATGGAGCAGAGTGGACAGATTGGATTTGATAAAGACTGAATTGAGAGCGAGGGAGAGGAATCACCCTGGATGATTTCTGGGTTTCTGGCTTACATAATTGGGTATATGTCTACCACATTCTCTGAATTAAGGGCACAGGAAGAGGGCCAAGTTTGGGGAGAGGTCATGAGGTCAGCTTTAGATATCTCGAGGTACTTCTGAAGCACCCATGGGAGAGGAGGGGTAGGCAGTTGGATATAAGGGCCTGGTGATCAGAGGAAGAGTCCCTAGCTTGGAGATACTGATCTAGTTAAAGCAGTTTGAATGGGCCTCTGCCTCTCACCTCCCACCTCCCACATGTCCCCCAGTATCTGGATTACCCTCTCTCCACTCTCCACCTGGCCATGCTGAAGTCCTGCCCAGCCTGGGCCAGAGCCCCCAGTGCACACTCTTGGCCGTGACTCGCCCACTGTGTTTTATTGGGTAGGAAGTGCCTTTTACCTTTGTATGAAACCAGAGTTCCTCACGGAACAAGTAGGGGCTATGAGCTGAGTAACAAGACTGTGCTAGTTCCTAAATTCTCTGATTTAATGATCACCTTTTTGCCCTTCTTTTACTTTTCATTAATCATTTCTGTTTCCCTCCATCCCCCAACTGATCACACTCGATCATGGGCAGTGTTTGGGGATCTGTTTTTTCTTTTGCCTTGGTAGGAGAATTAATTAGCTTGCCCAGAAAATGCAAGATGAATGTTATGTGTCCCCACCTCCTGTAGGACCACAGGTTTGACCAGCAGGAATGGCATCTGGTGTCTGGGGCAAGAGGGTGGCACCCACAGCTATTAAGCATCTGTCACAAACAGCACCAAGCACTTTACACACATTTAACCCCACAAAAGTTCATTACTAATAATGCTTTAAATGCACTCACAAGCATTTAAACTCACAATAATTAATTCTCTAAAGGTGCATCTATCTCAGTCATCTCGGACTGCCATAACAAAGTACCATAAACTGGGTGGCTTAAACCAACAGAAATTTATTTTCTCACAGTTCCGGATACTGGAAGTCCAAGATCAGGGTGCCAGAACAGTCAGGTTCTGGTGAGGGCTCTCTTCCTGGCTTGTAGATGGCCACCTTCTCTCTGTATCTTTGAATGGCAAAGAAAGATGGAAAACTCTGGTGCCTCTCCTTATAAGGGCACTAATCCCATCATGAGGGCCTCACTAATCCCATCACCTCATGACTTCACCTAAACCCAGTTATCTCCCAAAGGCCCTATCTCCAAGTACCACCACATTGGGGGGGTGGGACTTCAACAAATAAATTTGCAGGGGACACAATTAAGTCCATAGCAGCATCCTAATAACCCATTTTTCAGATAAGAATGTCAAGGCTTAGAGAATATCTTGCCTGACTTCACAGAGCAGACATCTGAATCCAGGTTTGTCTGACTCAACTGTCCTGCTCTTTCGATAGCACCCTGCTGAGGCCAAGGACTCAGTGTTGCTGAGAGTTCCCATTAGAGCTGGTTGGGGCCATAATCTGCTTCCAAAAGCATGAGAACCATACCGCCCTCTGTATCTGACTCATGCATATAAAAGAATCAGAATTTGCAGGCTGCCACTAAGGTAGCAAATCTGAGTCTGGGGGCTCACCAAGAGGGCTGGTTCTTACTAGAAACATTTTTTTTTTCCTTTGCTGGCTGGCCAGTACCAGGATCTGAACCCTTGACGCTGGCGTTACAACACCACACTCTAACCAACTGAGCTAACTAGCCAGCCATTTTTTATTTTTAAGAGACCCTCTTCAATGACACTGGCATATAAAGGCGAGTCCTGGGGTCCAAGCAACTTGTCTGTGAGGGGAGCAGGGCTCTGGAGAGGCAGAAGGTGACAACCCCAAGGGATGCCACCTTTGCCATGCGACTGTGGGAGGGGGCCATGCAGCAAGAGCAGTCAGGCTGGGGGAGTGCTCAGCCCTCAGGATAAATCAGTGGCAGCTGCTCTGGCCTCAGGTACGTGGGTTTAACTAGACCAGAGGGCGGGTACTTTCTGCAGTCACAGACTCAAAGCCTGCACTGGCCTTGGGCTGCCCTAAGCTGCTGGCCTGTCAGAGGTGGGCGGAGCTTTGAAGACCAGCTTCTTCCTCCTGGAATCTGATTTCCATCCTACTCGGATGCAGATAAACAACAGGGACCAATGTAGGAGGGCTTTGGAGGGTCAGGAATTCACCCTGGCAGTTGAACTTCATAAGGGAAGGTAGAGGTGGATGGTCCTCTGTCAAGAGTGACTTTTGCCCTCCTAGAAGTGTTTTGGGGGAGATAAAATCTTTCTGGACATAGAATAGACAAGGGATCACCTGCTCTGCCAAACAATTGCCCAAGGCAGGGCAGGCTGGAGAGGCCTGAGCAGTCATGGTGGAGAGCAGGGTTCCTTCGTTTTGCTAACCTCATACAGGATCGGGCCCCTCCTCTGCAGAGACTGAAGCCTTTCTCACAGGAGGCCCTCAGCCGCCTGAATCAGGACCAGCCAGGGTGCTTTTTAAAGTTCAGATCACAAACTGTGAGGGTAGGGCCAAGAATCTGTGTTCTTAATAAGTTCCCACAAGTCTTACATGCAAGTAAGTTTGAGAACCACTGGATTAGAGTTTCTTTGGTCATTTAAGAGCAAAAAAAGAAAAGTAGGCTGTTCCTGAGGTCGAGTAACTTCAAGGGGGGACCCTGGGGAAACCTCACATGGGAATCCCCCAGATGACCAAAGCAGAGCGCCTACCCTCCCAGAGGACTTGCTGATGGATGCATGGAGGGGACAGGTGAAGGATGCTAGCCAGAGGACCTGAACTAGGTCCCCGTGGGTTAACCCTTTTATCTCAGGTCAAATCTGCTTCCCAGATTCTTCCTGCTGCCCAATAGCATCACCTTCTTTTGAGTCAAAAGCAAGTTATTCATTCAATCTTTAGTTTATAGGTAAAAATGTAATGTCTAATCTCATAAAATACATAAGACAAGGAATTTTCCCACTTTATGTGTGAATACTAACAACTCTGGGGAAACGAATCCTGCGTAACTCTTCTCCTTAACAATCCAGGTGTCTGAGGTCGGGTCCTCAGACCCTTCGCAGGTAAAAGATTGAGCCTGCAACAGATGAGAGTTTGGCGAGTGGGTTTCAGGCTTCTGTTAGTTCCTCAGGAGCCAGAGAG